AGAATTGCGCATGTCAAATGAGCAAAACAGTGCGCACAATACATTAAGCATGTTTGCCTTCATGAATATGCAGATTGTATGTAGATCATTAGACTGCACAAAATTCTGGGAGGAGCAGATGCAAATGGAATCATTTAGCACCCGCAATGTGATTTATCAAACCCGGAAAAATGATTGCGGTCGCTGTTTTGCTAGCAAATGACAGTGTTGATAAATAATTAGGTCAAACATCTCTTTGTCTAATTGGTTTTAAATTTTTTGAATCTCTTTTTTTCATTTCAAATATATTTCCTTGCATCTGCAAAGCACTTTGAATTGCCTTGTGAATAAATGTTGCTACCCAAGTAAACTTTATGCAGTTGCTGGCTTCCCCAAAACGATAGGTGCAACTCCATGGCTTCAAACTTAATTTTCCATCTACGATCACTCTGCTCTCACAAACTTTCCATGGTGACGGCTGATAACGAAGCAAAATCCTCATTTAAAGAGGGTAGTCCGCACCAATTTTGCACCTGTTATCAATTATAGTAGATTTATGGTCGTAGATCACCCGTAACACGCCCACTAATAGCACATGCAATTTTTTAGTTTGCACACGCAATTTAGCATTCACTACATGGGATCTGAGAAGATCAGGCCATATGGGTGCTGAGGAAGAGAATGGGGGCTGGTGAGTGTCATTTATAATGGAGGCTAACAACGAGCCTTAATCTTTCTTTCAAATGTATACACTTCAGGCCATTTTGTGACCACAAAGCTGTGTAAAAAAGTAAAATCCCTGTGCTGTGCCTAACTTGATATCAGTGGAAAAGCCACCACAACAAAGTGTTTCATTTCAAATTGAAATGAGGGTTTACACCAGTGGCGGCTGCTGGTCTTTCAAGGAGGGGAAGCTCATTTTTCTGGCCTACATCATAATTGTGTTTGTTTATTAGTATGTAACAGAACAGAGTCGCCAAACACAACGGCAGTCGTTTTTAACAAAGACAAAAGTTGCTGAGGATCGGTAAAGTCTCCGGAGCAGTAAAGAACGACAAATGAATAACTTGGAAAATGCTCTGGTAGATGTTTTATTCTTTAAGATCGCTGATTCGCTTGTTTAGCTGTCAATCAAAAAAGGATTTCGCCTCAGACAGCTCATCCAATCATGGATGCAGAAGCTCGGATTCTGGGAGAAAGTCGGGACCGCCCTCTCGCCATAGAACTCCAGTGAAGCTGAGCGTCCGATGGGCGGGACAAAGCCCAGCATTTATCCAATGAGCGTCTAGTTTCGCTGCTGGAACAACCAACTTTGAGCTTCCACATTGAAGTCAGCAGAAGCCGAGCGTCCGGCTGTTTAAAGCGCTGAGGCGCTGCGAGGATGAATGAGAACGAAGTTATGCCGGTTACCTGTGATTATCAGCTTCTTATCACAGTGTCTGAACAAAAGATGAAGGCTTTCTAGTGCGTATTTAGTTAATGAAATGTACACACAGCAGTACGTACTTCACCACTTTTTCTTTTTTTTGGGGGGGTGACATTTTAAGGGAAGCCGAGCGTCCCTTGCAGTCTTAGAGGAATCACCACTGGTTTACACATAATCCAGAATAAGATAAATCAGGCGTTTATAGAGCAGCAAATCATGAGATACTCAGAAATGTCACAGTTTGAAAAATTATCTCCTTAAAAAGTTTGAAAGAGTAAGATTTGGCTTGAATGAATTTCTATGGAGATTGATTAACTTTCGGCAACAGCCTCTAGTGGCCATTTGAAGAACTGTTTTTGTCATTTCTGCATTAGCTTGTGCTTGCTACTTGGTGTACTAAAGAGAAGAGGTAAACTAGAGAATCACCAGCTCCACCATGATAATACCATGATAGCTATTCTTAAGAGCAGTCTTTTTTGTGCACTAATGACCGTGCAAACTTAGATGACTACCCTGACATCCACCAAGGTGCGGATTAACTCCCATTCAGGGTTTGAGCGTAAACACTGCTGTTTTCTTTACATTCACTGAGGCGTCCTGGAAGTCTTTGGTCCCCTTGGTGGTCTCAATGAAACAAAGGCAGTGAGGTGATATATCTGAGCTGTGAGGTAAACCAGTAAGCAAAGCCTCTGCAGTGTCTTTCACACACAAACTCACAAAACCTGACCCAGTCAACGCAGAAAAGCTGGTTTCCCAACGCTCTACCTCCTGAATGGAAGTTTGAAAAGCTTAGACTCTACGTCCCAGTGGGGTGGAGGGGGGGGAGACGGGGGGAGTGGGATGTAATAACTGGAAGCAGGTGCAGGGATGAGGCGGGGAGCGAGAGGAGCTGGATATGAAGCGAGGATGTGCCGAGGTTTTACTGCAGAAGTTTCAGCTCTCTCCATTTCCTAATCCCCACAGGTCCAACTGGAATACCTACACCATGACGTAATGTGGGATTGTGTGTGTGTGTGTGTGTGTGTGTGTGTGTGTGTGTGTGTGTGTGTGTGTGTGTGTGTGTGTGTGTGTGTGTGTGCGCAGTTGGAGAAATCTCACATGCAAACATATGGAGGGGATTGTATGGCTCTGCAAAGGGACCATTCAGACAATAAAAAGGGTTTGTGTAAAGGCTGCTGGAGTGTGAGTGAGGGTCCTCCAGAAGTGCATGAGTGTGTATGAGTGTACTTGAAATGAAGTGTGTGAGCACATGCAAAACACACACACAATACATGGAGAATTTCCAGATCTGTGACCACAAGAGGTGTTCTGCATTTGTCAGTGTGTGTGCATGTGCGCAAGTATGTGTGTGCATGTGAAAAAGTGTGTGTTTGTTGAGCAGGAAAGCAGAGAAAGAGGAAGAAGAAAAAGGCGGGGGAGAAGATTGACAAAAAGATTTCCTCCTGTCTGATATAAACATTAATTTAAGGCTCTGAAGAGAGAAATAAGTCAGAGTTTTAAGACACATGGCTCCACAGATTCTGCTGACTGGGATGGTCGTCTCTGCTGGAGCTGAAATCTTGTCAGGAGGAGTCCTGGCAGAGACAAAGTGAGGAGTCTCACTGGCTATAAAACCCTTTCCATAAGAAAAGGAGATACTATTGGAAATATGGACTGTTTGCAGTACTGTGGTATATTTTCTAGCAGACAAAATCTGACTAAAAAAAATTGATTTTAACTTTTTTTTTTGAGAAGTTCTGTTCAACCTTTTTTTTTATTCTTTTACTGTCTTTTTACCAGGAAGACACAAAATCTCTTTTTCAAGGGAAACCTGGCAAAGACAACAGCATGAAACGTTTCACACAAAGTGCAAGTCAAACAATAATATGACCAAATAAAGTGATCAATGTTATCAGATTTCAGCAGTAAAATATGCATTCAGTGGTCAGATATTCTTTTATCCTAGCATTAAAGTTTTCCAGACTTCTTGTTGGACTCCATGATTAAAAGACAGATTTTATCCTACAAGAAAATAGTGAAATGTTGTCCCATTCTTGCCTGATTGAAGATTTCAGCTGCCCAACAGTTCAGGGTCTCCTTTGTCCTAGTTTTGGTGTCATGATGCTCCAAATGTTTTCAATGGGGGACAAGTCAGGACTGCAGGCAGACCAGTGCATCAGCAGGACTCTTCTACTACAGAGCCATGCTGTTGTAATCCCTGCAGAATGTGGTTTATCATTGTCTTGCTGAAAGATGAAGGTCTTCCCTGAAAAAGTCTTTGTCTGGGTGTCAGCAGATGTTGCTCCTAAACCTGTTTATATTGTTCAGCATTAAAGGAGCCTTCACAGATGTGGAAGATACCCATGACATGAACTCTGATGATCCCCAAACCATCAGGGAGGCTGGCTGCAGAACAAGGAGCTGAGAACAAACTGAGGGGTCACTGCACTCTTTATTTCAACCATGTAGCCTTGCACTTCAACCTGATTTATCACAAGCAAACTGTATTCTAATTGTGTGCAGTGATTGCAGACTGCACTTTCTTTTCTTTATAATATACTTTTAAAGCTAGAGTATGAATAAAAATAAAATCAAAAATAAAATCTTTTTTTTATTATGTAGTCATAATTTATCAGACAGCAACAAAAAACAGGAGTAGGCTGAAGCCCAGTGGCTTATTTTTCCCACCCTATGTATTCAGCGATATGTGTGTAAGTGAATATATCTGAGCATGCAGTGAGTCTGATATTTACTGAAAGATGCACAACAAAAAATCTTTGACTCAAGACCACGCTCAGACCCTGGAGAGGTTTTGAGTGTGCAGCAGTTTGGGTTTTGTTTCTCTCAGAGCAGTAAACACTTCATGAAGCAGCGGTTAGGCTGTTGGACGGCCTCTTTTGCATGTATATACTGTATTGTGTGTGTTTGTGTGATGTGTCGGTGCAGGCGCAGGTCAGGTCGGTGTGATGAGTGACATTTGCTCCCCTGCTGACCCTGGTCTCATCACTCTGAGGCCCTGTCCTCCTTTATGCTGTTTATACTCGGCCTCTCTGCTCCTTTCTCTGGATCTTGTTTCAGTCAGGGCTGTTTTGTCTCTGTGTGTCTGTGGAGCTGCCCTCCATATCTCCTCCGGGCCTGCATGTCCAATAGATCTGTGAAAAAGAGAGGAGAGCTCCTCCACGACCCTCCAGGGGTCGTTTCAGATGGAGAGGCTGTCCCTGTCGTCTTGTGTGCTCGGTGAAAAGAGCAGGGCTGGCGGGGGGTTGAGTGTATGTCCTGGGCCTCCTCCTCAATAAAAAACCCTCTCTCTTCTTATCCCCCCTCTCCCCCTCACTTTTTTAATAGGCCTGGGCTGCAGGAACTCTAAGAGGCTGAAGGGGGCGCTCCTAATACTTCTACTTTTCTACTTTTTTCTTTTCTCCTCTCTGCCCCCCCATCCCCATCCCTTTTTATCCCTGTAGTCTTGTCAAAAGGGGTACCAATCTTAGAAAAGCATCTCAGGTTGTGCAGCATTTATTCACACTCAGGCTTGTGCAGGTTGAAGCCCTCTGTCCACCCCCCACATCGCTCTGGTTTCTTAAGAGGCTCTCCAGCAGCGCCTCAGCTCTTTGAAAAGATGGAGCCTCCGAGAAAGAGAGCGAGGGAGACAGAGAGACGTGGTGGGATGGAAAAGCTTGGCGTTTGGTGTAGAGGCGTCAGCCCTGAAGAAGGTAGTGGGAGAAACAAATTAATGGCATCAGACAAGCTTGTGACAGGAAACCCCATTATGTGACAGCAGCACAAAGCCTGTGAGACGGGGTTTCAAAGGCGTAAAAGAAGGAGTTACATTATAAAAAAAAAACAGCCCCCACATTTACCAATCCTGTAAACCCCTCCCTCAAAAAGTAGGCCTCCTCTGGCACTTTTAGTAACCCACGTAATCCCTGATTTTAAATCCAGCCTCTGTTTTCTTTTGACTCAAAAAGAGCGAGGGTAAAATGAGATTTTAACAACTTATTGATTCATCGCTGAACAAAAGCAAAGACGCCTTCTAGGTAACTGTTTCTTTATACAAAAAAAACTAAGCTAATATTGTAAATGATACACATTTTGACAGTGCAGCTGCAAAGATAAACCATGAGAAGAAAATCACTGTTAACAACGGTGACTGTCAAACGTTTTCTTCATTAAGCCTCTTGAAAGATGAAAATTTGCTGCTTTCTTCCTCAGTTAATAAAAGCACCAAGGTATCACATCAGGGTTTTGATTATTGGTTAAAGAAGATCACAGGTGAATGAAATCATGATGAAAACAACTGAGGCAGTGTTGGGAGCTGCAGCCCTCAGTCATTTGAAAAACTCCAGTGCAGTCATACTGGCCAAAGTGGGTTTGAGCTGCACAAATTGAAGCTGATTTTTAGATTGCTTATTATTTAGGGAGTAAGGTCAAACTTCAGCCTGAATGTGCTGTTTGCTCTGCAGAGTGTAGATGGTTAGAGCAATTCAAGGTGTGTTCAACTGCTCTGGACAGGTCAGATATATTTTAACCATGTCTAAAACTTTGGTGTGCTGACTGCACACTCTGACAAAGTGAGAACAGGGCTACGAGCTGATTTCCAACTGTTTTGGGCTTTCTTACCTGATTGCACCTGCTGAAAATAGCAATCAAAATGTGAAAATGAAAGAAGTGCAATAATTGCAGTGGTAAAACTGTGCAATTATCATGCTGTGCAAAAGTAGCAACATTCAACAATTTCAATATAAAAGCATAACATTGTGCTATTACAATAATGTGCGCAATATATAACAACATGTACAATGAGAAATCAGCAAATCAATGCAATAATGGTACGAGCAATAATAGCTGTGATCTCGGGGTCATCTTTTATACATGAGGATGTGATTATTCTTTTATTTTCCCCTGTAGACTGCAAGGATTGCATGCTTTTTTTTTTCTGGTATAGAAATACTATATATATTATGAAGCTAAATCCAGAGGCTTTACACAAAATTCCAGTGTACATGAAACGTTTTGTACCTGTGCAAATGGCAATAACATCTTACTAGTAAAGTGCAAACTCAAAGTAGAAGGTATCTGCAAACTGTAAATGCAGAAATTATGAAAGTTATAGACAAGATTTTTAGTCACATCAGGGATCATTTAAAGTCTGTTAGTGCAGGTAAACAGATTTCTGTGGACAGTTGTTTAGACATGAAAAATGCTGCTGTACATGTTGCCATCTAGCCTGAACTCCCCTCTTCATCTTAGTTACTTCTCTGACTGTGAACCCCTACCACATTACACATGCCCTACCAACTGAAGAATCTCAGGCACAATAATCCTGCAAAAAGCTTTGTAGATCAACTTTGTGCAGAGAAAACAGCTGACCATCACCAAGAATGAGATTAATAACTTCGGTCAGCAAAGTTTTACAAGTTAACTTTCTGTTTGAATATGTCACTAAGGAGCTTCAAAACTTTCAACAGATGGACCATGAGTGGAAATCAGTAACAACAACCACTTCAAGTGTATCAGAACAGCAGTGTTTGAATGATTTAAATCCTAAAAATACGAATAGACAAAGAGGTTAAAAAAAATAATCAGTGGTAAGACTCAAACCGCAGCTGTGTAAAGCTTTTGAGTGATGAAAAGGCATCTTCATGAAACATTTAACATAGATTAATGTTTAATAATGTGTGTAGTTGAAAAATAATGAAGAGAATCAGAGTCATTCATTAAAATAGCCTGCAGGCATTCACCTTTCCACATATCCTAGAAAATGACACCACAGTCAGTGATATCACCTTGTTAAATGTCTCCTAATCTAAGACTACACCAACCTTTTAGCAGTTCAAAACTCTGAGCTTTGGGCGAGACTGACCTTTGGCCCTTGTTTTATGGTAAAGTCTGGAGCAAAACCTTTTACTAAAATGGACTCTACTTGTGCTCTGTGTCAGATATTAGGATTTCCTAAGGCTGCAGGATGTCGGTTCTGCATGTCTCCAGAATTTGAAGCAATGTGGGCGCAAGATGGAATATGTATGAGTTTGCAGAAGTGTTAAAGACAAGGAGGTAGATCAAGTCCACAATGATCCACATCTGTACAAAGTGTATGGCACTGCAGAAGAGATACAATATGTTTGATTTCAGAAGAAGTGGAAACCTGCAGAACTAGATGAATACAAGTCCAGGTCTTTTGAAATTTTGGGAAAAACTGCCTTGTTTGTGTACAGTTATGTCACATTTGACCAAGAGAGACTTTACAAGTTTTCCAGGTATAGGAATCAGCCGGCCGGCTGCAGGCGAAAGAGTCTTCATGTGTGCTGTGTGCTTTGTTTACTGTACTGTTGCACACCACACACTCCAGAACCAAAACTATTACATCTGTCATTATTTGTGGTCGTGTGTGAGATCTATGATTTTTGTCAAGATGACATTTTGGTGCATGCCAGGCTGTATGCTGAGCATCCTCTGGGTCAAACTCTGACGCCAAAACTATGGAGCATGCTTAGAACAGTTTAAGTCCGTATACGTATGTATGGATCCTGCATTATCTAGATTTGTTACTTGGCTGAAAGATCTCCCATGTCTCTTGTTTAGATTCCCCAAATACAGTTATTGCTTTTGGCCTGAGCTCTCTGCCTCTGTCCTCTAGATTATATCCCACAGTAAAGACCATTGTGGACAGAGAAGATTGCGTACAATTACCTTCCTGTAATGTGATGCCTGTCTTAAAGGAATAACGAGTAACAGGATCTCGATTCATGATCATGTTTTTTAGTTCTTGAGGTTAATGTCAAAAACAAAGACAGAAAAATTCCAAGAGTGTCTCCCCAGAGTCAAGTCTTTGCTAGAAAGAGTGAAAAATCAGAACATGCAGTGACATCATTGCTGGCGATGAGAGTAACCCCCACGCCTCTCCTCCGTCCGTCCAGAGAATCCACCTCCCTGAGCCAAACAGTGTGCTGGATCCTGGCTGCAGGCCTCCCTCTACAATAATAATCCCCTAACCCTCACACACTTCATTCTGATGTGCCTTTCTCCAAAAAACTACAAGAGATGACAGCTTTGCAAATGGCCTGGGCCCAGATCTCATTTATTGTATGGCGGTACGGCCTTGATGCTTTTCCTCCAAAGTGTGGCTGACATTTCAAGTTTGGTTTTGCAAATGATCTGGGCAAAGAAAACAATGCAAAAAAAAAATAAAAAATCCCTTCATTTTCTCCCACCCTGAGAGGACTGAGCATGTGTGAAATGCGTTATGGTCCGAGTTCAGCAGCCTTACCGGTTGGTGGAGATGAATGTGGACTGTCATTCGTATGTTTGTGGGGAGTATGACAGAGATGGTCCTTCACAGGATTAAAACGTGCTGTTTTTCATACTGACTGTTTAAACATTCAGGAGAATGTTTTCCAGAGATAATTTTGAGCTCTTTAGAAATCATTTACGACTTTCCTTTCATGCCTTTTAGGTTGCATTTATGTTGAGACATTTCAGTCTGGTTTCAGCGTAGCAGGGAGCTTGCATCTGATAGCAGGAGCAGGGTGCAGAAAGGATGGGTGTCTCTTTTCACTCCCAGCAGGATTAGGAGACAGTTTACTGATAAGATTGCCAAAGACATCGGCATCCTAATCCTGTCTTCTGGTAGACTGAGGATCTTTGATCCCTCTCTGAATTCATATGCATGAACGTATAGAAAGAGTCAGAGATAACGAGACTGCAATACCCTGAAAGCTAGATTTCCATGTAGCGTATTAGCTTTAATCATGCCTGTATTGATTAGTCCCAAAACATGAAACATACAGTGGATATTCCACAGTCGCCAACGTTCAAAGATTTTCATGAAATATGGAAGTTCAATTAAAAGATGAGAGTATGCAGGGCTTGTTTAATGACTTGGTTTATATGACGGGAACTTTGTAGAGACTGCAGGATCAACTTCATACGCCAGTCTTTAACCCGGTCTGTCTTCCTGTCTCTGTCTGAGTATCACGCCACCTCTCTTTGAAAAATATGCTCGGCTTTTTATTAATCTAATGTATGGACCTTCATGAGGTCTTCAGCACACCACTGAAGATCCTTTTCAAGTTCTAGAGATAGCATTTGTGCTATCACCAACTTTCCACTGTCTTTGTATACAGCACATGATTGATAGCCTACTATCAAGGATAGACATTAGTATTTTGAGTGTGTCCATTTGTGTTGACTTATCCAGAGAAACTTTTACAGCCATTCAATATTCAAAACCATATAGAAGGAGTTTTGGTTCTGGGGGCAGGAGCTTTTTCTGGCTGGAAAAAAGCAATCAGCATCCTGACAAGCTTGTCAGCAGATGGAAGTATGAAGTGCTCTAAAATCATCTGGCAGACAGCTAGTACTGGAGATTGCAGCTTCAGGACCACATTACATACGGATCTGGATACGGACGGAGCTCTCCGTCCATGCTTCGCGTTCTTTCTGTCTGTTTTTCTGCACATATCCTTGAAATTTACAGATACTGGCCAGATCGAGCAGTATCACTGGCAAACTGTTGGGGCAGTGTTGTTGACTTGTGGTACTGTATGTGGGGGGCCACCCAGCAAAGCAAGTTGTCGAAAGACCCGGCGGACATCCTGAAGCACTGAAAATGATGATTGTTGTCAATTTCTCTCATCTGTAAAAGAGAAAGAATTCTCCGTCCTCCAACTGCTAGGTATTTAGCGGCCCGACTAACCACTGCCTCCTCCAACATTGCCTCCATTTCTGTCTCCTAGGCAAAATATACATTATCACTAGCACCTCCATAGTTTCCGTGTTTCTTTTCATTTGTTGTCAGAAACTCTTGACTCCAGCCTGCCCTCTGATGGATGAAATGGTTAACATCCATGCCAACGTAAAGGACGTATGAAAGTATGTGGGCAGTGACGGAACCATTGTTTAAAATGGATGTGTACATTTTCATAGGTACGGTGAGCATAAATGAGCCTTTAGGATCATTAGTCTGCAAACATGCTATTCATACCAGTAGGTGACATGTCCCTCTAAATCATTACAGACTCCAGAAATCTCACAATACTTTTATGCACTAAAGAATCCTTGTTAAGATTGACTTGATGTTATAACTGAACTGTTATTCCTCATACGTCTCTTATGAAAACACCTCCTCTGCTTGTCCTCGCAGTATCCTTCTCTGCTCTTCCTGACACCTATTTTCTCACACCTCTTTGCTTTTCAGGCGAGGCATGGGGTCCTTTTGACTGGCAACCCAATGAAAACGGCGCTGGAGGGCAGGAGCGTGGGACCAGGTACTGTTTCCTTCAAGCATAATATCCATCTTTTCTCCCAGCATTCCTCTGTACCCCCGAGAGCAATGCCTCACATCCAACAAAAATGAAGCCGGCTTGTACCAAGTTGAAGGTAGAAAGGAGGGTGTAATCACATACTGTAGATATATGCTTCTCCCCTGCTCAGGAGGGAGGGGGGACATTTCAACAGAGCGAGCTAAAATAACAGAAAGACCCGTCCAACAACAAAGCATCCTCTTTCCTCCTCCTCCTCTGTCCAGAGGATAAAAAGCAGGCGCTAGTTTTGATGCAGGAACCAAGCAGAAGTAACAGAAGAGTAGGGGACCGCATTAACTTTCAGTCCAGAGAACATACAGGTCCGCAGTTAGACGCCATCAATAACTCATCAGGGTCTAAAAGATACAACACAGACCTGAAAAGATGCTGCAAGAGTCAGAGCAACCACAATTACAGTGAACATGCATGAAAACAAGCATGATACAAGCATTAAATTATAAATAATGCAGTAACAACAAAGCGCCTCATTAACCCTCTCTACAGGCTTGGATCATGTCCGCTGTGATAGTTAGGAAAGGATGTATTTTCTCCTGCAGTGCAGTCAGATAACTCACCTTCAAATGATTTAAAAAGTTGATGCAGCAGCTGGAAATAGTTTTTTTTTTATTTTGCGCCTTTGCTCTGAAGTCATCTCTGTGCAGAATTATTTCACATCACACAAATTGGAGGACTAATGGATAAATGTCCGAAACCTCACAGTTGGAGTCTGCAGGTGCATGCCGGGAAATTGAGGCTGAAAACTTGAGGTTACATCAGTTGTGCAGGGCAGCAGCGGTTCTGCAGGAACAGCTCGTCTATTTCCAACTGTAAGGTCAGGTTTGTCAGATGGAGATGTGAAAACGATGCAGCTGTCTGCCTGAACCAGCTCACAGGCATTGTTCTGATTGTTTTTGACAATGCATGTTTGTTCATTTGTTGTACATTTACTGTCAGAGTACTGAATCCACATTGACCTCCACTGGAGTTAGGAAGAGTTTTTTATGTATTTCTCTCCAACGTCAGGGTACATCATGGAGATGTAGAGTTATGCTTTACATTGATCGGGCAGAAACTTTTTGATTGAACTTACTGGTTTAAATAAACTTTTATGCGATTATTTGGAAAACTGTTGTTAAAGGTCTACAATCTGCCAGTTGATGGAGAATTTTCTCTTTAGTTATTATGATTTTTTAAGCCTAGAAAAACCAGTAAAACCAGTGAGCAGTTTGAAGTATACTACAGAGAATATGCTGCAGGCTATTTTGGAGATTTACACAAAAGCTGCAAGTTCTGTGTAAATCTTTCTCAGTAAATGTTTCTTTTTCACTTATCCAAGCCTTTTGTAAAAGCAGGTCTCAGCTGAGACTGAGAGTTGTTTGGTTATCATGCAGAGTTTTGACCCAAACCATCAAGAGCAATTTGGACTTTTTCAGATAACTCAATCTACTTTAGTTCCCTCCTGTGAAGCTTCATGCCGACCCTTCCTGATTTGAAAATTACACACTTTAGCGCACGTTCAATTATCTGGAACTTCTTTGCAGTAAGCCCCTCCATGTAAATGCCCATCAACAATCATGTACTGATCAGAAATTTTTGAGTTTATAGCAAGGTGCAAGCTTGACTAAAACTAGTACTAGAAACTAGACTAGACTAGTACTGCAAATTATACTTTCTATGTGACCTAGTTTGAGAACCCTCTGCATGTCCCTGTGCACTACGCTTATACAGTAGCACAAAATGGACAAACTAGAAACATACATTTACATTTTGTACACTTACATACTTTTAGTGAGTGTAGTGAGTGGCTAAAAAAATGCTTTCATTTCTTTAATAATTATTTATCTAGTATGATTCAATAGATCAATTTCTATCTCAATTTTGATTTATATTTTTCCAACCATCATTTCGCTGAAAATACCCTCTTGGTGATTACACATCCCAGCTCTAAAGTAGACATACTGTACATTATGTCTGCATTATACACTCACCGGCCACTTTATTAGGTATACCTGTCCAACTGCTCGTTAACACTTAATTTCTAATCAGCCAATCACATGGCGGCAACTTAGTGCATTTAGGCATGTAGACATGGTCAAGACAATCTCCTGCAGTTCAAACCGAGCATCAGTATGGGGAAGAAAGGTGATTTGAGTGACTTTGAACGTGGCATGGTTGTTGGTGCCAGAAGGGCTGGTCTGAGTACAGAAACTGCTGATCTACTGGGATTTTCACGCACAACCATCTCTAGGGTTTACAGAGAATGGTCCGAAAAAGAAAAAATATCCAGTGAGCGGCAGTTCTGTGGGCGGAAATGCCTTGTTGATGCCAGAGGTCAGAGGAGAATGGCCAGACTGGTTCGAGCTGATAGAAAGGCAACAGTGACTCAAATAACCACCCGTTACAACCAAGGTAGGCAGAAGAGCATCTCTGAACGCACAGTACGTCGAACTTTGAGGCAGATGGGCTACAGCAGCAGAAGACCACACCGGGTGCCACTCCTTTCAGCTAAGACCAGGAAACTGAGGCTACAATTTGCACAAGCTCATCAAAATTGGACAATAGAAGATTGGAAAAACGTTGCCTGGTCTGATGAGTCTCGATTTCTGCTGCGACATTCGGATGGTAGGGTCAGAATTTGGCGTCAACAACATGAAAGCATGGATCCATCCTGCCTTGTATCAACGGTTCAGGCTGGTGGTGGTGGTGTCATGGTGTGGGGAATATTTTCTTGGCACTCTTTGGGCCCCTTGGTACCAATTGAGCATCGTTGCAACGCCACAGCCTACCTGAGTATTGTTGCTGACCATGTCCATCCCTTTATGACCACAATGTACCCAACTTCTGATGGCTACTTTCAGCAGGATAATGCGCCATGTCATAAAGCTGGAATCATCTCAGACTGGTTTCTTGAACATGACAATGAGTTCACTGTACTCAAATGGCCTCCACAGTCACCAGATCTCAATCCAATAGAGCATCTTTGGGATTTGGTGGAACGGGAGATTCGCATCATGGATGTGCAGCCGACAAATCTGCGGCAACTGTGTGATGCCATCATGTCAATATGGACCAAGCTCTCTGAGGAATGCTTCCAGCACCTTGTTGAATCTATGCCACGAAGAACTGAGGCAGTTCTGAAGGCAAAAGGGGGTCCAACCCGTTACTAGCATGGTGTACCTAATAAAGTGGTCGGTGAGTGTATAGTCCTTTTTTCAGAGGGCCTCTTCTGAAGCTTTCTCTCTGGATGTTTTCCTTCCCACAATGCAGCTGGCCTCACAGAGGTTGGCAGAGAGCATGCTCTATAATTTAACAGTCCTGCTTTTGGACGCAGAGACAAAGACTGGAAGGAAGGTTTTTCTTTTCTTCGGTTCTACCATGAAGAGATATTTCCAGACCCGCCTAATGATACATAACTCAACAACATTCATGTGAAAGTAGCGCTGCAGAGGATTCACTCCACAAGGGATCTAATTATTAATGTGGGATATACAAGACAGGGTCTGAACAGTTAAATAAAGAAGAGCACAAAAAGGAGAATTACCATATGCATTTTTAATGTGCAAGTGTTAGGCTTGGACTGAATAAAACAATGGACAACATGACGGCTCCCCAGAGTGAAGCCAAAACTTGAAGAACCCCTCTGAAGACTGGCTGTAGTGATAATGTCTGCCTCCTACATGATAACCTATGGAGCGAAGTTTAGGTTGAATGAATTAACTGATGCTATGACACCATGATTGACAGCTGTGCCGACCAATGAGGCTCCTGCAAAGCTGTGTGAACTGGATTATCAGTAAGTAAAAATGTGACAAACACTCACACAAGAGCCACTTGACTCTCCATAACTATGAGCATCTGCTCCAAACCCACAGAGGAACCTGCTCTGCTGTGGACTGGACCCACCTGAGGGAGCATTACACTTTCTCAGGTGTGCGTTTTGATTAGTGGATGAAGCAGGTTGTCCATTTTGCAGCTCTGAGCTCCTATATATTTTAACAATGGGAGGAGATGGAGGTGTGTTAAACACCTTTATGTACAGTCAATGGTACGTTGTTGTTTTTTTTAGTTACCTGTGTGGGAGAGTTTGTTGGCACACTCAGGTAGTTGCACAACCTTTCACTGAAGAAAAAAAACAAAACAAAACAAAACTGATGAGCATTATCACAGCACTGTGGACAAAATCATGATCTGTGGTACATGATATAGATGTTTTAGAGCTGATACCAGTAAAAACAAACACACAAGGGAACTAAAAAAAAAAACCTGCTTTGATATCGATAAAATTAATAATTTTTTTTTTGATACCCTGTGGCAGGGTTGTCTGCAAAAACAGCATGAGCTTTCCTGAAAGTCCACAAATCTCTCGGAATGATTTATAGACAACACACGTGGTGAGATACAAAGTAAGATGTCATTCATATCCTTAATTACAGGGAGACATATTCATTTCTATATGCCTCTGCTAACTCGCCAACAAAGTCAAACTTAATTAATCAAACGTTACATATCTTATCTCTCTCTTTAAGCGACGTTATACGATCCAACTCAGACCCACTCAAAGTTCACACTCCATTCGCTCTCTCTCCTCGGTCTGAATGTGTGCCAGGGAAAGTGATACTGCACATGTCAGCAGGGACAGGTGTGGAAGCCGTGTACCCAGGAAGAGGGGCTTAGATTCGGGGAAGCCGGCTGCCATAGATACCCATGATACCCCTAACCCAGTACAGCTTATGGAGCTAAATCCTGCTGCCACCCCACACTTCTTCTCACACAGCAGCACCCCCGTCGAAACACTATCCCCCACTGCTATAGTCACGCAGCAGCTCTGTGGCGTTAGTTCAGGGGAAACAGCTGAGGAGGACGAGCTGTGGCTGTAATATATGAAGTGTGTGTGTGTGTGCATATGTACAGGACGGCTGTGATGTCATGAGAGATATTCCCGAGCAGTCAGCTGCGATCACTTT